CCTGTTTGATGCTGTTTTTCTTATTTGAATCTCTGCATTTGCAAAATGAACATGAAATCCTATTTTATAATATATATTCAATGTTTAAAAAAACTGATGAATAAGATTTCTTTTCTTCATTTGAGTTCATTGACAAATTGATGTAACTGTTTTTAAGAATAATGGTGTAGGGGTTATTTCCCTTTATAATAAAACTTTTATAACTGTAAGGGAACTGCACTGCAATATACACAAATATTACTCATTTAAGTATATCAACAATGTAAAGTATATGGTTTATTGGTTGATCCAAAAAAGAAATTAAGCATTCAGAATTGTTAATAAATTTAGGGTAAATAAATTTTAAAAAATTGTGAAATGTTTTGTTATATAGATTTTAGCACCTGTAAATATCGACAAGGCATATTGGAAACGGTGATACTTGCAGTAAATTCTTTGCTACAAACGATAGAAAAATTGAATATGCTTTTGAAACATCTCCATCTAAGTGTATGGAGATTAACAGCTTAGAATAAAATTTGTGTATATATATCATGGCTACCCCTGTACACAAGGAATGCCATTTTTCTGATTCAAATAGTTTGGATTAATTATATAAAAATAATGTTACAGTAATACATTGCTATATATAGTGATGCTAATAAGAAAATCTCATAGCTCAGGGATAAAAAAAAACAAAACAAAAACCTGGTAATAAATCTCATCCATGCAACCTTACATAATGAGAGATCCTATTTATGTTACATTTACAATGCTTTTGTATTTTGTTGTATAGTAAAACTTGGTTACCGGTATAATGAAGTCACAGGGACCAATAAAATTACTTCGCTATATCCATATTTTGTTACATTTACAAACTACATGCTATTGCGTGTTTCCTGAATTGTCAATAAATTTTATAAATAACAGAAAATAAAACTTATTTGCAATTTTTGTTTTTATGATGTCACAAACTAGTCCAATTTTATATCCTTTTTCAGGGGACAAAATGTTCAACAATTTTAGCTTTAAAATTCGCTATATCAATATTGACATATTTTGTTTATGTCCTAAACACACATGCGCTCGGTGACTTTTAGGAATATCCTTTCTTTGTAAATTTATATAGCATGTTTATGATGTCATTACGACATATGGCATCATTACTTTTGAAAATATTCAGTGCTTTGAAGTCAATATATCCCCTGTTTAAGAACTTAATTAAATATATCTCCATCAAAGTTTGATTTGGGGGGCTATATCCGTGTTCATACTGTGATGTACTAAACAAGTTTTGCTGTACATTAATTCTTGTAAAATTTATAGATGATGAAAAATAAAGTTTCATTTTGTCCACAATAGACAATTTCCCAGATTCTCATCCCCACCTGCCCTGATCTTTTGCCTATTAAATTTTTGATACTGTTTTTCTTCAAAAGTTTGTTTTTTTCGTTGTATTTTCTGCATTTCCAGAACAGAATTAGGAAAGAAATTGTTCAATAAATGAACTGCTTTCAAACCTATGCTTGTTTTAATTAATGAACAAGTGAAAAGAAAAATTTCTGATGACGATTTTTGCCATTTTGTGCATTTTCTTGTTGAAGTGGGATAGGGAACATGACATACATGTATATTGTATTTTAAAAATAAATAAATAAATGGATATTTATTTTTTAATGATAAATATATACTTATAGAAAGGTTTCTTTGATTTATTTGCAAATTGTTACTGTGTAAGTAAGAATTCAATTTAGGGGTTACTTCCCTTTACAGTAAAACATTTTTATAAATGAAAGTGAATTTTATTGCAATTTTTACAAAAATAAATCATTTAAGTATATCAACAATGTGAAATATATGTATTTTCATTGAGTTGTAAAAAAAGAAATCAAAAATATTTTGTTTTATTTTAAAATTTAGATAAATAATCTTCAAACATTTTGAAATATTCTGATGACATTAATTCAATTGTTATTCTTCCACCTTCACTCTTCCTATTGACAAATAAGTTGATCATTTTTGAGGGGCCTCCTGCCAAGTGGAAGGGGGTATATATAAGTTTAAATGTAAGAGTTTATAAAGTATAATTGCTTTCAGAATATGCTGTATGCCTTTGATCAGTGATTACTCATTTGATAAACATACAAACTCATATACAAGAAGCACTCCATCCGAAAAAAAAGACTCAAAATTTTAAAGTTATAATTAATGATTATAGGTCATTTTTTGCACAAGATGATTTTAAAGATTTAACTTTAAATTGTATCTCAATCATGATTTGCATAACAAAATGAGGAAAATTTCTTCCTTAGGGTAATAATTCCTCAGTGGAAGAGTCAGTTCAAGGGTGACCGATGTTGGTGGAATTAAAGTGTATCTCCCCATCCATGAAATGATTATTTTGTCAGCCTGTTGATTCATTGCAGTTATGTCCCAATGAAACCAAATTTTGGTTGCCCATGGTCGCTGACCAAAAAAATTAAATTAAATTAAAATGGTTCCACAGTAGCAGCAAACAAATGTCAAGTAAAAAAAAGTTACCCAAAGAGTTTGTAGTTTAATTTAGTCAACAAAAGCTTTTATCTGTTAATCATATGTACATAACTACATACCATCAATTAAACCTTACAAGATCTTATTTTGTACCTGATGTGAATTTGTGAAGAAAAATTAGGTTTAACAGTTTAGATTATTTCCCTTTATGATAAAAAATATGTTACCGGAAAATAAAATGCACCCCAACCGGAAAAGAAAAAAATTTAAAAGTATAACAACAAGATATATTATATGTGCAGTTATAGAGACAAATGAAAAATGATTTCAGGCTTTTGGTATTTTTGAAAGAAATTGATGACCAGATTTTTAAAAGATCATAAAATAGTATGATAATTTTTTTTAAATAGAGATTTAGTGCCATAAATTTTGAACTTACGAAAAGATGATTAGTTTTTGGTGCCTCCAAGTAGGAGGTCTATATCATAAAATATACATGTGAGAAATTATCGAAGGGGTGCCATGCAAATGTTTAGACGTTGCATAGATTGTATTTATATTGCGTGTGTGAAAACATTGATGGAATATAATTTATGTAGACTTTTCTAAACTGTTGCACATGGTTACAAGCACAAACTCTAGACAAATAGGGTTAAGCGTTGAAGGGTTAGCCTAATTAAGGGTTAGGGTTAGCCTTCTAGGGTTAGGGTTAGTGTTAGGGTCGGGGATAGCCTTCTAGGGTAAGGTTAGGAAGAATTTATATTTATGGCATTGAATTACAAGACTGTTTAGTATTGCTACTGTAACATGTTATAGTCAATAAAAGTAATTACCTGGGTATCTGTTTAATAATGATATATACATAGCATCAATTAAAACCCTACAAGATCATATTTTGTACCTGATGTGATTTTGCGAAGAACAGTTAAACATGCTAGATTATTTCCCTTTATGATAAAAAATCTGTTATGGGAAAATAAAATGCACCGCAACTGAAAGTAAGAAAAATTTAACAGTGTAACAAGAAGATAAAAAATATGTGCAATTATTAAGTCTTACGTAAATTTATTTCAGGCTTTTGGTATTTTTGACAGAAATTGTTGAATAAAATTTAAAAATCATGAAATATTACGATGGTTTGTTTTAAAAGTAGAGATTTTGTGTAGATAATATCAATCCGATGATAATTTTCTTTTACGAAAAGATGATTAGTTTTTGGCGCCTCCGTCGGAGGTTCATATCATTAAATTGTAATGTGAGAATGTATCAGAGATGTCATAAGAATTAAGCAGATGAGATGTTAGGACATTGTGTAGATTGTATTAATATTGTACGCAGACTATTCAAATGAAGAAAAAAAAACAATGTACATGTAGTTTGCACATCATACTTTACAAAAGGTGGCGGTTTATCGAGAATTAACTGTATTCATTTCTATTTATAATATATGTAGACTATTCTAAACTGTTGCACATGTTTACAAGCACAAACTCTAGAAAGGAATTTTAAATTTATAGCATTGAAATACAAGGCTGTTTGTTGTATTGCTACTGTAACATGGTTATAAACAATGAAAGTATTTACCTGGATATCTGTTTATGATATGTACATAGCATCAATTAAAAATCTTACAAAATCTTATTTTATACCTGATGTGAATTTGCGAAGAACAGTTAAACATGCTAGATTATTTCCCTTTATGATAAAAAATCTGTTATGGGAAAATAAAATGCACTGCAATTGAAAGAAAGAAAAATTTTACAATATAACAAGAAGATAAAATATATGTGCAGTTATTAAGTCTTATGAAAAATAATATCAAGCTTTAAGTATTTTTGACAGATATTGATGGATAGATTAAAAAAATCATGAAATATTGTTATGATTTGTTTTAAGTAGAGATTTTGTGTGGAAAAAATCGAAAAATTTATTTTACGAATAAATAAAAATATTTGGCACCTCCCTTGGAGGTCTATATCATAAAATTTAAATGTGAGAATATATTGGAGGGATGTCATGAGAATTAACCAGACAAGATGTTAGGACATTGTATAGATAGCATTTATATTGTGTGTGTGAAATCACTCATAGCATATTCATTTCTATTAATAATGTATTCAGACTATTCTAACGAATTTGTACACCTTCTTTTTATATTCAGACATTTTTTTTTTTTGCCTGTAGCATTTTACCCTATCACAATTTAAAACAAATTTTACCCAATTTTAAACTTGCCCAAACAAAATTGTGTTGAAATCAAGAGATAATGGTTGAATTTTCCCTCTGATGAATGGGGCAAAAAGCACAATGAATGGAGATGAGAAAAAAATCTTCAAAGTTTGTATACAGAATTTGGGAGTTTCCAGTCGATGGAGGTCACAGCCAATAATATCTGTTCAATAGCAAATGCATGAAGAAAATGAATTAATATTATGAAACAATTGAAACTATTTAAACAACTTAAAGTTTTCTATTCAAATGTTTTCTTTTTTCATTTGATTGAATTAAAATAGATTTTTTTTTTGCAGGAAGAAGGAGATAGAGGAAGAGAAGACTCGGTTGGAGTTACTGATGAAGAATCGGGAAGTCAGCCTCGGTAACTTAGAGGAGGAACTGAAGGCCATAGGGAGTCAACAGTGGCAGTCACCAGAGTACGTAGAAGTGTTAACAGAGTTGTGTAAAATTTATCATGATAAGAACTCATAGGTTTTCTGTTACACTGGTTGAATGAATTGTAACAGAGAGAAAACTTATGTAGGTTCTGATAATGTGTTACTTTCAAGGATGGTTGTTATCTCGATTGAAGGATTTTAGATATTCATGGTAAAATACTTTTAAAAAGTAAGAGGTTCAGACTTAAAGTCAAATTTTTTAAAGTCACGAATGCGTTTTCTTTTAGGTATCATCAGAAAAGACAGGAAGTGGAGAAGCTTCGCTGTGATCTGGCCGACACGCAAGCCAAGCTAACCACACAGGAGGCCCTGCTAAAGGAAGTGACGGAGGTTATAGATGCTGCGGGTGAGAACATCCCAACCGCGCTCGAGTTCTCAGTCGAAATCCCTCTAGATGACGGATCTGTGTCGGTAAGGCGGGCTCATTGTGGGGAATACTGTAAATCACTTTTTATTTGCAAGACACTTTATTTTCATATAATTACTCGAGTCATTGAGCACACAAAAAATTCATTCTTATGTATAATAGTATTCTTTGAGATAATATAAAGAAATAGCAACAATTCATGAAAATTATGTCTAGCTATTAAATAAAAAGTCAATGACTATCTTGTGAATATTATGTCTTGCTAATAAAGAGGCAATGACTATCTCTGGAAAATAAGGTGTGGCAAAAATTAAGTCATCTACAGTAGTTTACAAATAATGATGTTAGCCAATATTGATGTTTTGTGGTCTTTACAATGTTTGCAGAACTCATAATATTTCTGTGATTTTATGTCAAGTATAATGTGAAATACTGTGGATCGCCAAATTTAAGTGACACTTAGTATTTTTTGAGATGTTTATTAGGTATTTTATGTCAAAGGCAATGTTTTTATAACTTAATTATCTTCATAGGATCACATATTCTTTACTTATAAAAACATACTTGAAAATTAATTTTTTTCTTGTACAATGCATTTTACTTTAAATAGAAAAGATTTGCTGACGAATTGATTTTGATGTTTCAGAGTAGTAAGTTTAGTCCCAAAGGTCTAATGGGAATAAAGAACTTGACCCAAACCATTAGTAAGGCGATCCGCAAGACGCACGTAGAGAACGAAAATAACCAGGAGGGGTACGAAGACCAGGAGAAGGAGAAAAGTAATGGTCCACAGTCCCCTCCAACCTCACCGGACTACCAGGTAACAAAGGGATGGATCCAAAAAATTTATAGCTGGGAATGTTTGGTGGGAAATAGGTGGATCAAAGAACTTTGTGAAAGAGATATGAAAAACAATAAAGGATGGATGAAACGTTTATAACAGGGGATGGGTTATTGATTAAAGATGTTTTGTGAGAGAATGGTGAAAACAAGGGATAGATCAAAGATTTACAACAGCTAGGGAATATAGATGGGAAACAGGTGGATTAATCAAATTTAGTTAAAAAAAAACTATTGTGAAAATAGGAGGTGTCTCTAATATTTAACAGAGAGTGAGAGCTTTAAATGGGAAGATCCAAGGAAATTGAGTTAACAAGGGATTAATCAAAAGATTTATGAAAGGGAGTGAGTGCAGGAAATGAGAGGATCAAATGAATTTTGAAAGAAGGATTATGTGTAGATAATCAAAAGAATTTTATGTGATTATGAACTTTCCCTAAAATGTTCTCTAAAATTGTCAAACAATTTTCTGCAACATGTATATACATATACTTTTGGATAATGTAAATGTAATTGTACACAGGTTTACAAACCAGATTTTCAAATCAACTATGTATTTATAATCAATATTTTACAGTTGGCTGAGAACAACGCGTCCAGTGGTACAGAGGTCCCGGTAGAAGAGCAGGACTGGTTTCACGGGGTTCTCCCACGGGAGGAAGTCCAGCGCTTACTGACCCGTGACGGCGATTTCCTGGTCCGCGAGAGTAAGAACCGCAAGACCAACGAACCCCAGTACGTGTTGTCAGCCTTCTGGCAGGGGCATCGACACTTCATCATACAGTATGCAGATGTAAGTCAGAAAGAGGTTACTGGAAACCAACTATTGTTCACACTGTAAACAAATTTCCCAATTTTTAAGTTTAAATGAATCTTCTTTACAAATTATATTTTTGTGATTTGCCCCTAAATGTTCAACATAGAAACAAAGTAAAAAAAATGGTTAGGGGGGATATTTATACAGTATATGGCTGAGATTTAGTTGGATCATCTTCATCACATAATTTTTTTTTGTAAAATATGTAGAATCGTATTATCAAGAAATGTAGAAATAAAAATGCTTATTTTGTTCAATTTTTCAAATTTACCAAAAAAAAGTTATATAATATTAAAATCCTGTGTATAACCTCAAGTGAAATACCATTTTTAAGGGCATTTATTCAAAAATGTGAAATATGAATATTATGTAAATTAATTATTTATTGATATAAAATTTCATATTAAAATTAAGAATGTTACATGTATGTCATCTTCTTATAGAGGTATGATTTGAACTTGATGTAGATCAGTTTATGTTGATCATGACATATATCAGTATTTTGTAATTTTTCTCATAATGATTGTATTTTGACAGAATGGCTGGCGATTCGAGGGCCGATCATTTCCCACCATTTCAGAACTCGTTAATTATCAGCATATGTCTGGAGAACCAGTGACCACGAAATCACAGACAATCCTAAAAACTCCCATCATCCGGGAACAGTGGCAGCTCAGAAATGATGACATTGCCCTGGAAATGAAGATAGGAAATGTAAGGTTTTCATTACAGTTGCACCAGGCATAAAATAAAAAAAAAAATATTTGTTTCACAACCATTGCACATACTGAAATGAAATTTAGTACACAGATTTATCAGGTGAATATCTAGCCTACATCAAGTTCTGTTTTGGATACGATCGCGCCATTTTTGATTGACTTATGTCCTTGGACTTGGAAAAATTTCATTTTCTTTTTTTAAATTTTTTTTTTCATTATTAAACCAGGCCTAAAAATAAAAAAAAAAATACAATTTAAAAAACTAAAAATGCACCTGACCCTAATTTTTTTCAGCCATTATAAAAATTATAGGTTGGAAACTGCACACAAAGAACCGGTTTTTTTTTCTTGATGTATATAAAAACCTTTTTTTTCTAAGTACTAGATGTTTTCTTATATACACAAGAAGAATGATAAAGTCTAGTTGTTAGATAATTATATTTGTCTTGATTCTTGCTTAAAAAAGCAAGGTTTCAATAACATTAAAATAATTGATTGTTTATACATTTCACACACTGTTGCATGTCTGTGTTGTCAACACAATTAAAACTAAATCTGAAATACATTTCTTAATTAACAAAGTTTGTGTAGTACAATTTATCGATAGATAACTGTAAAAAATAAAGATTCTAACTCGCAGTTCTCAATGGTGATTTAACATTAATAAATAATATAAAATGTCTTTTGTGTAAAAATGATCTTGGTATGCAATATTTTATGTTGTGAAAAATTAATCTTTTATCCCGAATTTATTTTACAAGACCAAATATTATCAAATTTAATGTTGTTTTCTTCCAAAAATGTTGGACTATTGAGTAAACTTTGTTCTTTTATTAAAATCATAAACAGAGAGTGTTAACATCAATGTAAACAATTTTTATAGGCTAGGAGCATGTTATAAGCACACTTTGTATATATGTTATATGTTAGCTCAGCTGTTGTATATATGTTATATAAGTGTAGTATTTTTATTTAACAACCAAACACACTTAATAAACTGATAACGGGTAACGACGTGGTGTTTTGACAGTAATTAACACTTCAAACACAAAATGACCAATTACCCAACGATCTCAATCCCGGGGAGCCAAAATTACACCCAAGTCAGCTTGGATATATGAAAAAGCTGAATTATCAAAGTTTATGCAAAGGTTTCTTTTTTTTAAAAATGTTTTTAAAACAAAAATTGGTTCAAATTTATATAAATTTTATATTTTCCAACTAACCGATTACAGGTTTTCTAACCGATTGGCATCGTTCCGACCAAGTAATCGGTTAACCGGTTACAAATTGCCATCCCTACTTATATCACTTTCTCTCATAATAGGGTAACTTTGGAGAGGTGTATAAAGGTGTCTATAAGCCTAAGTCGATGGTTGTAGCGGTGAAGACGTGTAGAGATACACTGTCAGAAGAACAGAGGAAAAAATTTCTACAGGAGGGCCGGATCCTGAAGCAGTACGACCACCCCAACATCGTACGATTCATCGGCATCGCCGCCCAACGCCAGCCCGTCATGATTGTCATGGAGTATGTAGCCGGTTAGTAGATTGTGTGATTCATTACGTCTTATAAGTATTTTTCATGATTTAAAAATTCAGCTGAATTGAGGTCATTTTACCCTAGTAAAATTATCACTTTTCCTAGATGAATATATTTCCATTTTGTTAAGTTTTTATTTTAGATTCTTATATATATATTAGATGGAAATCTATGCTTTGAAATATTTGGGTGATAAAGGCTGTTTGCTATATTTGTGGGATTCTTGACACTGTGGAGAAGGAATGACCCCACAAACTCTTGGATTACATTTGCAATAATTGCAGATCAGTTTTATATAAATATGTATACTGTACATCACTAAATTATCGCGACACCTTATTTTGGCGAGGTTGTCATTGTCTCTTTGTAAGCGAGACATAATTTTCATGAATAGTTGTTATTCCTCTATATAATTGTAAGGTATACTTTTATACGCGAGAAATCAATTTTCGGGAATGCATTGTCTCGCATAATTACGCGAAAATTAAGTTCTCGCGAATAAAAAGAGATTTACAGTATCTTTCAAATGTCTCTTTTTCAGGAGGTGCCCTGTTGAATTATCTACGGAAACAGGGTAAAACTTTATCCAAGAAACAACTAACAAAGATGTGTGAAGATGCAGCCAGTGGGATGGCATATCTAGAAAGTAAAAACTGTATACACAGGTAAGAAAATTACATGTACATAATTAAACAAAATTTTATGCTATATACATAAATGAATGAATGTGAATGGCCAAACACCTGTAGTGAAATAAAAAAAGGTAAAACACAATTACAATCAAGTGCCAGGGACATGTGATCTATTTTCTATATGAAATTTAATGTACATGTACAGCTTAATACTTTTTTAAAAACCTATGGGGAATAAAAATAATTTTGCTTTCAGCATCAGTTCATTATAAGTGTGGTAGCTATAAACTGGTTTTACAGTAATGATTTAATGTTTTGATTTTCCTCCAGAGACATGGCTGTCAGAAATTATCTGGTGGGAGACAAGGCAGTTGTCAAGATTTCAGAAAGACTGACATATGAATGAGATTTAATGTTCCCTTGCTTTCGCGAAAAATGGGGACTATAAAACAGGTACCACAGTGTTAATATTCAATGCTTTAAACTCTTCAAATAATCATCATCTAGGGACCTGGCTGCGAGGAATTGTTTGGTGGGGGACAAGTCAGTCGTCAAGATCTCGGACTTTGGGATGTCCAGGGAGGAGGAAGAGTACGTCGTGTCGGACGGACTGAAACAGATCCCCATCAAATGGACGGCGCCAGAGGCTCTACTGTATGGTACGTAAAAATATTCTATTGTAATAACTCTTCTAACTGGAGTTCTTCTGAAACATAAAATGGACGGCGCCAGAGGCTCTACTATATATGGTACGTACTATCTTCTCCGTAAATATATTTCATACTCAAGTTTCTTCTGATGCAGAGAAGAATGACAATTTCAGATACTCTGCTTGTGTGGTTTGATATACCCTTTGCTTTGAAGTTTATTTTTGCCATGAGTGTGACCTTTTCTAATTAAATAAGCATAAAGATTTTGTTTTCCTATATGCATGCAACTTAATATTGAGGCCTTAATTTTTAAATTTGAAATTCACACTGAAATGAACATGCATATACAATGTACATATATTTACATGTTTTATGAAATTTTAGCTAATTTAATATTTTTCCGAAATTAAATTCTATCTCAGGTACAATAAATCATTGAATTAAAAAAAAAAATTAATCTTGATCACATGACTTGTATTTTAGGAAAGTACACATCGCTGTGTGATGTATGGAGTTTTGGAATCCTGATGTGGGAAATTTTTTCTGGTGGTATCACTCCTTACTCCGGAATGACAAATAACCAGGCTAGAGAACAGATCGACAGAGGTAAAAGGGAAAAGTAATGTCTTTGAAAAAAACGTTTAAGATATGTATATTTTCTTTGAAGGATTTTTTAAATTGCGTTGTTGACATTTTAGGTTTTAGAATGCCAGCCCCTGAGGGGACCCCTGAAGCCTGTTATGACCTGATGATGAAATGCTGGGAATATAATCCCAATGAACGCTATCATTTTGATAAAATCCACAAGGAACTTCAATCAATCTTTAAGTCATTATGATAATTTTCCAAAACTCTATGTGATTTCCTATGATGCAACAGCCTGCAATTCATTAGTGACAATTTATGGTAACAGCTCTTTGTGAATGAGAAAAAGAGAAAGACAGTCTTTCATGTACCTGAACAAATGTGAAAACACCAGATATGAGATTTTTAACAGCAAGAGACAATCACAAGACTTATTTGAACTTTGACCCTTATGATGGGGATCAGAGGTCAAGACACTAAAGGTCAAAGTAAAGAAAAGGGAAAAAAGAGAGGTTGATATTTTCTCCATGATCCACATTTTGGAGACCATTGTTAAATTTGTTGTTGTATTTCAAAAATATGTATATATTAGGTCACAACCTTTGACCTTAAGCCTTAACCTTACTGTCATAAAATGTAGATTCTGTTTTCGTTTGAAGTCAATACTATGCATAATGATTGTAATAGTAAGTACTATGTCAATTAACCATAAGTTGTTTTTAAGTATGTCAGTCTATGTATTAACTGTCATGTTTTCTTGATTGTCTTTAAGAGATGTGCCTTCACTCATAATTATGATTTCGAGAAATCTTTATAAACTATTATTTGATTTTTATGCGTTTGATAAGCATATACATTTAAATGTAACATTTCTAAAAGTTTTCATAGATTTTCAACATTGTTCAATAAGAATAAGATGTTTAGATGATATTTGCTTGTCAGTGATTTAATTCAAATTTTTCTAATCATTTACACCAATGATCTTGTAAGTTGCTTTAAACTTTCAATGTGGAAACCTGATTGAAAAAAAATGTTAATTATATGTAGCTTCACTAAATAGGGTGGCTTAACTGCAATTGAAATTAATACCAGATAAAAAAATCTAAATGATGAAGCCAGCTGCATCATTTAAGTTATTAATGAGGCCTCAGTGTTACCTCTTCACCATTGCTGAAGCATTGAGGATTAAAACTTTGTTTATAAGGTAAAAATGACAATTAAGGAAAATCAGAGTCTTTTAAATAAACCAATATACTTCCTTAAGATGAGGAAATTTTTAGTACATTTAATAAACATATACAGTCAAACCTTTGTCATCTCAAGCTCAATGGGACCAACAACAAAAAAAGAAGTCCAAAGGTTTGATATATTTAAGGGTAAAATACTTCAAGAAAAATAGTGCTAGGGATTTCTAAATCATGCTGGCAAACACTGTATCCTGTGACCATGATATTTGAGATATCCGTGTTTCAGATACTTAAGTTTTAAAAAGCTGTATCTAATTTTGTATAAGTTACCCTTTTCTCCTATGTCCTTTTTTAAAATAGCTTTTTTTTCTTTCAATTTTTAAAATTTATAGACGATTTGATATTCTTTATACCTTAATTGGATTGGTCAAATTTTGATACTTCATCAGTGATTGGTTGTTTAAATATCATTGTGTTAATGAATTTTGTATTATTTTATACCATAAATACTGTTGACAGATACATGGACTGTGTTTGAAGTTATATAAGATTTTGTTGTGACCCATATGTACAATAGAGAAATTTTTATTATTGCAATTTTAGGTGCAAGAATTAATGCAATATTATCACAAATTGAGGTTTAATAGACATGAATGCTTTTTCAAAGTTCAATAATACTGTAGCTGTATAAATAAAGCAAAAAGTGAGTTTAACTTTTTTATGACGTAATAATGGATCCAGCACCAAAATAGACATTTACTATTTAAATTCATTGATAATATGTCTTGACCAGAGCATTTGTTCATGTCTAAAACCATGATATCTTCAGTGTATTTCATAATAGATATGTGTAAATTTGTAAAAGTCGCCATAAAAGTGAAAACGGACATCAATTGTGGATCTCCATAACCATAATTCTTATTTTCCAAAATATACTATTGCCTTGCCCTTCAAAACCGAGACAACAAAATTTTTTATGTCATTAAAACATTTTTTTTAATGAAAATCAACTTAAATCAGATGTTGTGAATTACTTAACCTTTACTTTGTTACGGAAAAAATCAAAACAATCATATAATAATTTACCTGATATGTTTTTTATTCCATGTAAGATAAGTACTGTATATATTATTGGAGACTATTAAATATTCTAAATATATATTGAAAGGGATGTATAAAAAGTAATATAATGTGTATACATATGCTTTTCCATGTAAATGAAGTTTAGAATATGTGTTCTTTTTTCATGTATTTCTCTGCTTTAGATATTTTTTTCCCTGATATATGCAAATTTTCAACTTTCATTTGTCTGTTTACAGAGCAGTTTTCTTTGTTATTTATTACATATATATGTCATATATTATAATTCATTATGATAACATAATTTACAATATGAGCTTGCTGGACAAATCAAATATTACATGATTGTATGTTATTGTTGATGTGAAAGAAAGTATATATTTATCACATAAAAATATATATTGTGTACAAATTTCATTACAGTTAATGTTATTTCTAATATGTATATTTCACATGTTAAATTGCTTGATAAATGAGATATTATGTTATTGTTGATGTGAAAGGGAAAAAACGCCATTTTACTGATTATTTGTTGTATAAATATAACTTAGTCTAATTAAAGCACCTGTTGTGAAAGCATAGCTTAACTGACATGATTGCAAGATGCAATATTTTTTTGTACTACGATATTACATTAAAACATGTATAGAGACCACTAGCACAATGATTTCTTAACCTGCATTCAGTGAAAAATATTTTGCTGTATTTCAGTTATGTTACCTTCAACATTAGGAATATTAAGAGAATATCAATCTTGTTCAAGAAAATTAAATTACTAAAATAACATTTCTGTTCTATTTGTCATGCTATTTTTAGCTGTACTGGTCAGAGACCAGAAGAGCTTATGCGATAGTAATGCGTCAGTCGTCCATCCGTCCATCTAGCTTTCTGTCTGTCTAGCTAGCTGTCCGTCTGTCTGTAAACACTTTTTCAGAATGCTACTTCTCCTACAGTTTTAGTTTGATTTCAATATAACTAGGTAAACAAGTAGAATACACTTAGATACATTAATTAGTGCGTCAGTTTTGGATTTCGATGAACCGTGTTGCAATGGTTACTAAAATATAGAAATTTCTGCGAAATTCCTTTAAAACGCTACTCCTCCTACAGTTTTGGTTTGATTTCAATATTACTTAATTGGCACACAAGTGCACTACACTTAGAAATATAAATAAGTGCATCGATTTTTGATTTCGATGGTTGATGTTGCCATGTTTACTAAAAAAAATTTTTTGTAAAATTCCTTTCAAACGCTTCTCCTCCTACAGTTTTGGTCTGATTTCAAGTACACTACACTAAGATACACAGTTCTATTTATTGCTGCCTGTTGTAAAGTTTCCAATCCAAGTGCTACCTTTCCTTTGTTATACAGACAGAACAGTAGAGCTAGAGCCTCATCAGAGACTTCTGGTTTTTAAAATAAAAAAAAAATATGATGATTTAAATAATGGTAAAGTCAAGGCAATTTTCTTTCATGGTTTTATGAATAATTAGCTCACCCGAGCTTTTCTGCTCACATTTGATCTATGGTCCATCTGTCTTTATGTAAACTTTTAACATTTTTGACTTTAGAACTAATGGTCAAATTTCAAACTTTTCACTAAGTATCTTGGATGAAGAGTATTCAAGTTAATTCAGATAAATGGCAACATCCTCTTTCCAGATATTTAAAGGTACTTGGACACAGATTTGAAGTTAATATTTTCTGTATAATATCACGAATTATATATTTTAAAAGCATTTCACACAAAAATTAATTAAAAATCTTTTTTCATTTAAAAGTTATTAAAACTTCAAAGTTTTTGGCGGGTTTGATTGACACATCCTTGCACTTTCACAAATTCTAACTCTATTCTTATCCCTTCGGAAAAATGGCAATTTTTTGTGTATTAATGAGAAATATTAAAACTTTAATCCAGAAAAACAATTTTATTCAGAGTAGAAATATTACAAAGGAAAAATCCTTCATAAGTACCGTCATTCCGAACTAAGTCTCGTGTGCAAATCGATCACACTCGTGTTATGTACACAGTTTTTGTAAACAGGGCAAGAGCTCTATTATTGTTGATTGTTTACGATTCACCGGGTGCGTTCATTCGTCAAAGTCTGCTCACCACAACTGCACGGACTGAGAATATATTGTGTGTTTGTTTTGCTTTCGAACATGTCTACTCTGATTTTTCTGGATTATAGTATTAATAATTTTCATTTATAAATACACAACAAGATTGTCACTTTTCCTAAGTACAAGTATTAGGAGTAAACTTGAACTTTGTGAAAGTGCAAGGATGTGTCAATCAAAACCGCCAAAAAATTTGAAGTTTTAATGACTTTTAAACGAAATAAGATTTTTCATTAATTTTTTGTGTGAAATGCTATTAAAATATATAAGTCGTAATATTATACAGAAAAAAATTACCTTCAAATCTGTGTCCAAGTACCTTTAAAAATAAGATTAGTGAAAACTTATTGCTATCTTTTAAAAACCTTCTTTGAAAACAATACAGTCATAATAAGTTAACCATCCCCAGCTAATATAGATTCAAGTTTGTTCAAATCATGACCATCGGGGTAGGATTGGGCCGCAATAGACCAATCCACACTTTACAAAAGTTGCTTCCCTTTGCGGGGTCAACCAAAAGGTCAAAAGGGAAAGAAACACATTTTAAATATCTCCTCTTTATGCTAACAAACATTTGGGTTGGCTATGATGAATCCACTGTGTTAAAATTGTTTTCTTTGGATGTGTAGGTAGCGCCAAAATGGGGCAATCAGTATACCCTCTGCAATGATTTTTTTCAGTCAAATGACAAAGTTACAAACCTGAAAACTACAAAGGGTACTGTGAGGATTCTATGGGTTTATCCCCTAAGATGGCGACTAAGAGACATGACTTTTGAAGAAGTGTGGATTTAACCATAGAACATCAGCATAATTCAATTATACAGTCATTGAAAGATATAGAGAGCTCAAAAAGTGAGTTTGTTGAAGCAAATTTGTTCCACAGAATTATTCCATTTTCAAATAAGAAAGCAGTCAAATATGTTGAAGATACCAAAACTGAAAACTGTATTCAGAAAAATATAACTTTTCCATTAACTTTGAAATTGAGAAAAACATTGATGCCTTCTTTCTTTGACAGATTATTTCGTCTTTCTAATCAAAACATAGAGCTAACACTGCGAATAATGTTTAATCTTCCTTGGTACCTGGCCCCGGGCCATAAAACTTTCACTTTCCCAAAGGAATATCCAGGGAAAAAGTGAGACTTGTATCAAAGTCTCATTTAACTTTAATGGCCCCCAGGCCAAATCCCACCTCCGGATTTTCTGAGCGTAATTGTTTTATTCCTTTTTCACTTTGTATTGTATTTTTTTATCAATGTAAAAAGCATTTTATAATCACCTTATATTTCTGCAATGTGTATATAAACATAAATGTTACTCTGTACCACGTATAGAATACATAATTTAGTTTTTTATTATCTTTGTGAGATGATACCTGACATGTGATGTAACGCTTTCTTGTATACAACAAAATATTCTCAAACATAATATACCCGTATGTACAGCTGCATAGACGGCAAAAATATTAAAATCATCATTTGTATCAAAAAAATTAAACGAGTGAAATTCGTTATCGCTAGGTCCCAGACTCTCGAGCTCTTTGTCCAATTTAAACAAAAAAAACCCAGTAGCTTCGATTCACCATATTTAAATTTTGGAAAAGGCACTACAAAATGCTTCACTCTGACGATTTCGACACAATTATGTGTTAAACGACGATCCGTATAGTTATAGTCCATTATGTTCTTGTGGTAAGATAGTGTCGGTCTTGATGACACTGAGGACAGTAGGATTTTTTTTTAGATTACTTTCGGAGGATACCTCGTTCAGTTGTGGCCCAGTGGTTAGAGCATCTGCCCGAGACAGACGTTAAACAACAATCAATCAATCAATTAATCAATCAGTATTGATGAAAAATATATATCTCTTGTTCATTGTACATTCTTATTTTCAACATTCTAACATGCAGATTTCAATAACTGTTCTTATTTTATATGTGTAAATAATATTTATTTATTAGCAGTGGTCTGTGTATATGAGGGTTGTCCCAAAAAGTCGTTGACAATGTTTATAGCTTTTTAAAAATGTAACCAATACTAACCAAATTTTGCAAAGACATTATATATTCAATGTTCCTAAAATTTGTAAATTTCTAAATATTATTATGGCCTTCATATTAAAAATATCGGGACGATTTATATGAAGGCCAATATGGTGTGTCTGCGCACGAACAAACTTCGGAATTATTTACGCACAAAGCTATTACATTTGCTTTTATTTCTTTAATACTTTGTAAAATATTGAACTCAAATTTAAATCAGTGAAACCAGAATCAAAATCTTAATAACATGTCAAATTTTCATATAAATAGCATTAGAAACAGACGATTGGTGTCATAATTTTCAAAGTGTTAAATTGTTGGAATTGGGTTTGATGAAAACGAGGTCGTTAAACGCGTATCAGGCGCAATGATATGTAATAAATTGTTTTGGATATAGTTTATTTATAACAGAGACGGAAAAAATGAGTATAGAAGTGACATTACACATTAGATTCTAATAGAGAAGTCGTTTTTGAATGGTACGAGATTCAATGACAGTTTTCCCTCTACACAAAAAATAGCTACCGCATGTAAGAAGAATAGTACTGTTTGTTAAACACAGTGGGGAACTTTCTGGATCACGAACGACGTCACAATGTGTATTCTCTGCTGCCTACAATACATGGTGATCTTTCGACTAAATATCGACTAAAATTTGATCTTCTAAAAAAATATAGTAGTGAATTTGAATAAGTCCCTAAGAAGAGTGTTTTTTCACTTAAAAAAAATTAGGGTGTTAACAGACGCGTGTGTGATAGAAATTGAGATTATGACATTATAAGTGACGTAAATTACGCTTAATTCTTTCGTGCGCCGATGTACACCTACATGCTTTCTTTATTTTTTTCATAAATTTCTTATCAAATGTGATATTATCATGAAACTTGAAATGCATGATCATAAAA